ACACCCCCACCCACCCACACCCTCTCTCACCCCCACACACACACACACCCACACACACTCACACACTCTCTCTCACACACACACACACACACACACAGCTTCACCGACGCGTCAGACTCCTGCAGAAATACAAACACAAGCCGCGTCCATCACTTCCGCATACACAACGCCATAGCGTCATGGCCTGCGTACATACGTCACTTCCGGCACTCGGCTGACGCGAGGCAGAAATTTTTTTATATTTTTTTTATTACTTTTTTTGTCCGTTTCTTTCAAACACAAACATGTTGATTAATGACCCTCTGGCATGACGTTATAAACAGTTCAGCTTTTAAGCGACGCGTTCTGTGTGAATGCGGCCTAATCACCCTCATCGATCACTGGCTTTACACGAATAATCGTTCAATATTAATTATTGCTGTATACCGACTGTATAATAATGCTGACACTCCATGCGTTAATCTGACGCTCAGCGCGAGCTGTTTACTCTGCAGTCATGCGCGACAGAGCAGTAATTATATCCCTGAAAGACTGCTGCTAGAACATTTATTACATATATACTGACTCTTCTGTATTAAATACTGACAATACCTAACACTTCTTCTTCTTCTTCTTCTTCTTATTAACACTAAATCTTCATTATGCTATTAAAAACGGACTATAGCCTAGGCTAGCCTAATGATTTTTAAATACCTTTATTTGATTGAACACTGATACAGTCATAATCATTTTAATTATTAAACCATAAATGCACACACACGGAGTTTCAGAGGCAGTCTGTAATAAACCAGCCGTGTTTCTGCCTCTCTGGAGTCTCTGATCACAGGCCTTCCGAACCTTTGCGTCTTATTTATCATAATCATAATCATAATCATAATCATAATCGTCCGTTTTATTTAGGCCTACAGGATTTACACGTTTTGGAATTGCGTCGTTTATACGAAATTAACAAAAGAACTCGACAAATTCATGTGTTTTTAATTTGAAGAGTTTAATTTCACGGCTCGTAATTCTCACGCGCTGTTGCTCTTTTTTATATTTACGAGAAAATGTTTATTTTTATATATTTTCTTTTTTCGGTTGCGTCTTTCCTAAAGATCTCCCAAACCTCCTCTTCTTCTTTCTGCAGCCTATTTCTGCGTGCACGCTTTTCAGCTTACATATTTATTTTCTTAAATAACGATTCTATTATTATTTACACTATTTATATACACAGACTATGCGCTCGCGCTGTGTGTGTTTCAGATGAGAGCATGAGTGTTGCAGCAGTATTCGAGATGATTAAATAAAAGCGTGTGTGTGCTTTAATGAGGTTTAGCTGCATCCACAGCGAGGCCCGTGTGTGACGAACTGAGAAATATATTGTACATATTATAGTTCTCATAAATACCTAAAAAACAAACACACTTAAACTTCACATTTCTACCGTGTTGCACGCTCGTGTGGAGCCTAGGCTACTCGAAAGGTTTGCAGACAAAAATTTTAATTAGATAACCACGTCGGGACATAAATAAAATAATAACACAGGCCCTAACATATGAAAATAAAACGTAAGAAGGGGAAAAGTAGATTTAAAAAAAAAAAAAAAAAAAAGTCCAGTCACCATTTAGAAAAAGAAAACTCTTTTATTAAAGCAGAACTGTGTCCGTCTCTTCTCACTCGCGCTGAAACACATTACTGCATTAATCCTGCGCTCGTGAGAGCAGATCAGCCTTTATTCACACACGAGGAATCCTCCCATCAGCTCCAAACGCCTCGATAACACAAACAACCATCAAAACTTTATTTTCACCAGTTCACAGAGTCTGTTGAGGCAGAGGCGGAGAGCAGAGTTAGCGTGTGTGAGGGTCACTGGTTAGTGCACTAGCTAGTAGTCCTGCTGTGGGAGTCACTGGTTAGTGCACTAGCTAGCAGTCCTGCTGTGGGAGTCACTGGTTAGTGCACTAGCTAGCAGTCCTGCTGTGGGAGTCACTGGTTAGTGCACTAGTTAGCAGTCCTGCTGTGGGAGTCACTGGTTAGTGCACTAGCTAGTAGTCCTGCTGTGGGCTATGTGTCAGACTGTGGCGTCGCAGGTCGCAGTTGCGCCGAAACAGCTTCCCGCAGCAGCCGCAGGAGAAAGGCTTGAGGTCTGTATGGGTGAGAAGGTGAGTTTTCAGGTTACTTCTTTGATTAAAGGTTCTTCCGCATGTGGGGCATTTGTGAGGAGATTCCTGTTCAGATTTGAAGCAAGCAAAGGATTATTCCCTTCAGTTTTCCATCAAAAATAAACGCTTCAATGTCAACATTTCAGGCCCAGAGATGTTTATATAGGCCCATGCATGCTATAATCGACAGCCCCAAACATGACATTTTAATTAAGAGCTCAACGAACAAAACTCTGTTTGTGCAGAATGTCATCCACATACAGAAGATACAAATGAGGACAATTTACCTGCAAGTGCAAAGTTTTATGAACCGCCAAAGTTCGCGACTGACAAAACCCCTTCCCACACTCCTGACACTTGAACGGTTTCTCCTTGGAGTGAATATATCTGCAGAACAAGCGAGAGTGAGTCAAGCTGCACACACTCTCTCATACACTCTCTCTCACACACACACACGCACACACACACACCCACACACGCTCTCTCACACACACACACACACACACACACACACGCACGCACTCTCACACGCACACACACACACGCGCACTCTCACACACACTCTCACACACACACACACATATGCACACTCTCACACACACACACACACATATGCACACTCTCACACACACACACACACACACACATATACGCACACTCTCTCACACACACACACACACGCACTCTCTCACACACA